TTTCAATGAAGGCCGCATAGTCAAATAATGAGGACGAGATAGTTTGGTTTTGGAGGTCTCTGAAGTGAAGGGATTGATGAGCGCCTTCGGGAAGAGAACGGGTGACTGGCATATTCCTTGCTTGTTGGCAGTGACAGTGACAGTGACAGTGTTAGGCTCTGGAGCAGGTTAGCATCCGGCAAAAAATGGAAAATGAGAATAATGAAAGACTAGGAGAAATGATAGCGCAACACCTGCGTTCAGGGGGACAGCGGGATGGAAACTGAATAAAGATACATACTTGACATCGAACGTATGTGTCGTTGTAAGATTATCCGTTCGGCATAACTAAATAATGAGAGTCGTAATGCACAGAAAAAAAGGACCAGGTATAGGAGCAGTAGCAACAGCAGTGGCTGAGGAAGGACCGAGGGAGACAAACGTGACGTCCAAAAGAGTCAGTATAGGAAATCAATAACTGCTCTTGACTCCAGCCCTACCAGCGGCCCTGACGAGATAATGGGGGGGGGGGGGGTAAGGTGGGGCATAAGGAGGGAGGAAGGGGGAAAAGGGAGGGCTTAAGGTGGGGCGCAAGAAGGGGGGCAAGGTGGAGCATGGGGGCACGCAGACGGACTGACGTGTAGTCATGCAGACATACTTACATCCTTACGTACGCGGGCAAACACCCCCCTACACATACATACATATACAAATGTAGATATATATGTATATATATATATATATATATATATATATATATATATATATATATATATAATATATATATATATATACACATACACACATACACACACACAGATATATATATGTTTACAAATATATTTATATATACATATATGTATGTGCATACATACTTATCTACACACACACACACACACACACACACACACACACACACACACACACACACACACACACACACACACACACACACACACACACATATATATATACACATATATATATATATATACACACACACACACCACACATACACAAACACATATACACATACACATATACACATACACACATATACATACACATACACACATATACATACACATACATACATACACATACATACATACATACACATACATACATACATACACATACATACATACATACATACACATACATACATACATACATACACATACCTACATACATACACATACATACACATACATACTTACATACACATACATACATACATACATATACATACATACACATACATACATACATACACATACATACATACACATACATACACATACATACATACATACATATATATATATATATATATATGTATGTATATATATATATATATACACACACACACATACACATGAATGCATGCATGCAGAGAGAGAGAGGGGAGAGAGGAAGAGAGAGAGAGAGAAAGAGAGAGAAAGAGAAAGAGAGAGAGAGGAAAAAGATACTGAGAATGAAGGAGTAGCAAGAGAGAGGAGACAAGAGAGAAATAGCAGAGGGAGGAAGGGGTGGGAAGGAGAGATTAAGAGTGATAAATGAGAGGGGGAGAAGGGGGGTGGGGGGGTAGGGAGATGAGAGAAGAGGCAGAAGGGAGAAAGGAAAAAAAGGGGTGTAAGTTAGGGGGAAGAGAGGGCAGGGAAGCGCACAGGTTCCTGCTCTCCCATTCCCATGTTACATTTTTTTTTTTTTTTTTTTTTTTTTTTTTCCATAAATTTTCTTCCTGTAAGATTTTTGAAAGCATGTTCCTCTGCCCTCTTTCTCACATTTCAAAGGTTTCTGTCTGGCTCTGTCCTTTCGTGTCATCCGTTGGTGCCCTGTGTTTGAAAAGCAGAGGGTAAACATTTATAGATAGCCTATTTATATCTATATATATATATATATATATATATATATATATATATATATATATATATATATATATATATACACATATATATATATACACATATATATATATACACACACACACACACACACACACACACACACACACACACACACACACACACACACACACACACACACACACACACACACACACACACGTGGGTGTGGGTGTGTGTGTGGGTGTGGGTGGGTGGGTGCGTGTGTGTGTGTGGGAGTGCGTGTGTGTGTGTGGGTGTGGGTATGGGTGTGGGTGTGGGTGTGGGTGTGGGTGGGTGTGTATACACACACAAACTTACACACTCTTACACATACACTCTCTCTTTCTCTCTCTTTCTCTCTCTTCTCTCTCTCTTCTCTCTCTCTTCTCTCTCTCTTCTCTCTCTCTTCTCTCTCTCTTCTCTCTCTCTTCTCTCTCCTCTCGCTTCTCTTGTACACTTGTACACTTGTGCTCCCATATGCATATATGAACATGTTTCCTACTTACACATATGCAAGTGCACATGCACATGTACACATGACAAGGGCATATATAGTTATACACATGCAAATACAAATGCATTGATTTGTTTGGTAATCTATCAGAAGTTGTTATATAAAAGTGCATCATAGATTTTAACTGTTATTGTTATTATTATTAACATTTATGATGTATTATAGTTTGTCATATCTTATTTAATTACTTCATACCTGTCTCTATATTTTTGTTTTGATTTTTAAGAAATGTTTTAGAAATAAGTTTTGCAGTGAAAATGCTTATATCAGGATTACATACATCCAATATTTCTGCATTGTGGAACCATTGTCTACTATTTTATCCTCATTACTTCATGCCACAAATAAGATAGTACTATTTACAAGTGTTTAACCTAACATTGAACTAAACTATTATGTACATCGGCTAATGACTGTTGCACTTGCAGGGTTGAGCGGGAATGCCAGTGACATGGAGCACCGACGACAAACCTTCGGCTCCAACGTCATACCACCCAAGCCCCCCAAAACATTCCTCACCTTGGTGTGGGAGGCGCTACAAGATGTAACCCTTATTATCCTTCAGGTGGCTGCTGTGGTGTCTTTAGGTCTCTCCTTTTACAAACCCCCTGCAGAAAGTTCATCAGGTCAGTCAGTCAGTGTGTAGGTGGCATTGGTGAGGTCCTGTTTGTTGTTGTTGGGTGTGTCTGGTGGGTTGATTTTTAAGGGATCAAGACTAGGGGGTTGAATAGGTACTGTAATTTTCGGATGAATTTTTTGTTGTCGTCTTTGCAAGGCAAAGATGTTATTGAATAGAGAAAAGGGCAGTCTTTTTGCATTCTATAATTTGTACATGTATTTTTGCCATACAGGCCAGCAAGTTAATATTTGATATTGACTTAAATTAACCTTGTGATGCCCGGAAAATGTAAGATTCACTCTGATTTTCTAATGCCATTAACATTACTAATAGTGATACAAGGCAAAAGAGAATGCTCCCAAAAATCATAGAAAAGGGTAAACAGTGAGATAGGCAGTACAAGTAATTGACTTTTGTGATTAAGCACTTATGGATTCATCTATGTGTAAAGACAATTAATTTTTGTCATATGATATATTATTGTTTTTAGAAATACTTAATTTTGATTTTGTAAAACTTGTATTTTTAGCTTCATTTGGTTTTTCTGGCATATATGAAATTTTTGTATTTTTATTAACCAAAAATGTGTTTTTCGTTTATTCCATGTACGCATCGCCGCAGGACCACAAGGTGAGTGTCGCTGGGCACTTTCTAGTCAGAAAATGATGTATAGAGAAATGTTTCGAATTGTCATGACATATATTTGTGCAATACATATTTCATCCTAGTTTTCAGATGCTTTTTTTCTTTAGAGTTCTTAGTTTTGTGTTGTTTAAATGAATTTGGAATTCTCCTTTCATGACCAATGGCATTTAGAGGGAAATACTGAAGGTAAACAGATGACAAGGCACAGTAAACTGCATATTCCATATAGTAACTTAGTAACGGTATACTCAAGCAGCTTTTTCTGGGTACTCTGTAAACTCCTTCTGATAGATCATATTAGAGCCACAGAATGGTATAAATTGTGTTACTACAGGAATATGTGAAAAACTATTTTGGAACTGATGACCAGAACATTCCATAACAGTAGCTGACTAATATTTTTGTTGAGTCTAAAGATAGTTCAGTGTCCAACTGCAGCTTGAAAATAGTTTAAGTTACATTCTCTCATAAAAGAAAGTGATACACACAGCTAACATTAAATGTATCCTATGGCATTTGATGCTCTACAGTCAAAGGGTTCCAACAGTTGACTCAGAATATGTTTCATTATAGTTTATGTCAATTAAAGAAATCAATAACATCATGGGATGTTCCTGTTCACATTTTTAAAATATTTTGTATGTTTTTTTTCTGAGCAGTAATTCCCATAACCTTCACACCCCCCATGTCCAACATCTGTTAGTGTTCTAGCACCACAATGCTTGTTGTTAGTACCCATGCTTGTGAGTCCTGACTGTCTAGTCTGGGATTAGAATGTTATAAACCTCCCTTGGTACATATACACTAAATATGATCTCCTGAATAAAGAAAGAGGAAAGAAAAGCAAGAAAGAGAAAGAAACACACACCACGCTACATCATGCATTTACACTATAGTACAGTGGGTTTCTCAGTTGTTGACTTAGTGTATTTTCTTTTTCTTTTCTTTTTTTATTTGTTTTCAGTTTTGTAGGTTTGATGCTGGAAAGACCATCATTTTTTTATTTTTTTTTTATTGAACTGAAGAACTATTATATACGATAAACATGGGACTTTTTTCCATTTGAGAAGAAAGAGAGTAATGATGGTCTATGCAGATCAATAAATATAAATAACCACAACCTGTATCTCCTGGTGATATTCTTGGCTTGTGATCTCAGGTTGAGTAGGTGGTAACGATAAATATGGTGCTTATTGGAGGCTCTACATTTATTGTTAGTGCTTTGGCTTTTTGTGTCACTCTTCTTCATTAGTGATGGCACGTCATTTTTTGGCATTGGCGTAATGTTGGCAGGATTAACTTGGTATAGGTTTATACATGTCACACTCACACTCACATGCACACGCATACGCACACATTCTCACACTCACTCACACTCGCACTCACATGCACACGCATACACACACATTCTCACACTCACTCACACTCACACTCACACTCACACTCACACTCACACACACACACACACACATACACACTCACTCATTCACTCACTCACTCACTCACTCTCACTCTCTCACTCTCTCACTCTCTCACTCTCTCACTCTCTCACTCTCTTTCTCTTTCTCTCTCTTTCTCTCTCTTTCTCTCTCTTTCTCTCTCTTTCTCTCTCTCTCTTTCTTTCTTTTCTTTCTTTCTCTCTTTCTCTCTTTCTCTCTCTCTCTCTCTCTCTCTCTCTCTCTCTCTCTCTCTCTCTCTCTCTCTCTCTCTCTCTCTCTCTCTCTCTCTCTCTCTCTCTCATCATTCTTCATTGTGTTACAAGGTAATGAGGAATTTTTGGATGCAGTTTAACAAATAAGACAAGGGGTCTCGTGTCGTAATTTTTGTTGATACATGGCAGCAGTTCCTTAGGCTTTTGATACAAGGAATATTGGTAAATGTTAGGGAAAGAAAAAAAGATGAAAGTAATAGGTTATCATTTCTTCAGAAGATATTTCATTCCTTCATGTTATTGGGTGCTAAATTGAATATCTTTGTAAGGATAATTATGATTATTTAAATTTGACTTCTATGAAATCGAGTTAGATCAGTATTCACATCAGTCAGTAGCTGAAAATATAGATAAAATGAGGTATGCTCACAGTATGATAATGATAATTGATCTGTATGTGACTATTTTTGATATTGTACTATATTAGGCCTTTGCACTCTTTGCTTTTTTCACTGCCGTGCCATCACTATCAAAACCCTGAATAGATGTTTTTTTTTTTTCATTTCATTCTCCCTTTTTGTAACACTGATCTGTAAATGTCATGACATACAATCTAGTCTAAACTTAACCACTGTTTGTAACCGAGTCCTGTTTTGTGTTTAAAAAGTTCCAGTGATTTAGCATTGCTAAACCAAAAAACTGTATAGTGTTCTGGACAATTGTCAAGAAATGAAGTTTTGTATATATGTTCATTGTTAAACCTGTTCATGTTTCTTCCTTTGTATGTAGTTAATTCTCAGTAAAGTTGATAAAAAGGTAATTAGAACACACTAAACTTACTTGAAGTCTACTCTCCAGCCTCTCTCTTATTTATGAAATAGACCCCATAACCTTACTAGCCATATCTCACCCGTCCTGAACCACAGTGCCTGACAGTCCCACTGCCTCACCCTCACGCAATCCATATTCCAGCTCTTTCTCAGGTCTTCTAGTCTCAACCCACATTTTCCTATCAGTCTTTTCTTATCCTTGGACTATGTAATTAGACTGGTAGATCTGCAAATATTTCTGTACATGAAGTAATGACCAGCTGAATAGATATCCTACTGTATATCTCATGTAGGATTAGCCATTCTATTGAATCTATGAATTGTATTTCACTCATTTAAGGTGTAATCATTTCTTTTCTAAGCAAAGACTAATTTTTTCTTAATGAGTTAAAAATACAAGGAAGTTAAGTGATTTTGTGAATGATTTTGAATGCACATCCACAACCAGAACCCGTGTAATGATGACATTCTTACAGTTGGTCATCACGATGAGGGAGAGGAAGAAGCAGGATGGATCGAGGGAGTGGCCATTCTTATATCTGTGGCAGTAGTTGTTTTTGTCACAGCCTTTAATGACTACACAAAAGAAAAACAGTTTCGAGGTCTACAAAGCCGCATTGAGGGCGAGCACAAATTCTCTGTTATTCGAGGAGGAGAAGTCCATGATATTGGAGTGGGAGATATTGTCGTTGGTGATATTTGCCAAGTAAGAACTTTGTGGAATATGTTCTCTTCTCTTTTCATGTAGGATATATGCAAGTGACTTTGATGTGTTCTTAAATTTGTGTGTAAGTATCAACTTTATTTTTTCCACATTTGATAGTGTTTTGATATTGAATTACCTTTTCTCCCTTTCAGATCAAATATGGTGACTTGTTACCTACAGATGGAATCTTGATACAAAGCAATGACCTAAAGATTGATGAGTCCTCGCTAACTGGAGAGTCAGACCATGTAAAGAAGGGGGCTGACACAGATCCTATGGTGCTCTCAGGTGTGGTTTGGGATTTATTGTAATGCAAAATATTTCTGATAAACCCATTATTTAAGAAAAACTTTTTGTTATATTACTAAACACTGTCTCTGAGCTTCCTAACATTGGATTTCCCTTCATCTAATTACACTTTTCTTTAAGTGTAGTAATACAAAGTAAGGCTATTTTTGAAATTACATGTTGTTGTTATTCCTCCAGGGACACATGTAATGGAGGGCAGTGGAAAAATGCTGGTGACTGCAGTAGGTGTAAATTCTCAAGCTGGCATTATCTTTACACTTTTGGGTGCTGCTGCAGATGAAGAAGAAGTTGAAGCTAAGAAGAGGAAAAAAGGTAGTGCTTTCTTTGGTTGTTTTATGGACTTTGGCTCTGGAAAGTATTAGGACCAAATTTTTGGGTTATTGCATTATATTGCAAGTTCTGGAAAAGTCAGTAAAGTACTTTCTAGATCAGTGCTACTCAGAGTGTAGGTAGGCAAGCCACAGACTGCTGATCCATGGTGAGTTTCCAGAAAAAGGAAGAAGTGGTACCATAATTAAAATGAAAGGTCAAAGAGTATATTAGTTTCCATTTTATTCATTAGATATTTTCATGTTTGAGTTGACATTAGTAGGATTGTTCAGATATTCTCTAGACTGTAAAGCAATTGTTGATACCTTGAAAGTAAAGCCAGTCTGCTATATTTGATCCTTTGAGTGCAACTGATCTAGGTTACTGACATTGGATGCCATCTTTACTGTATTATATATTTGAAGCCAGTAATTTTTGCAGGTTGAATTTGGTGTAGAAAGGTAAAATATGATAAAGTATTTGTTTTTATTATGTTACTCCTATTATTTTGTTCCCTTTTCACACTTACCAATAAAAAAGTGATCGTTCTCTGATATTCAGGGACTGGTCATTAGATAATTTTAGATAGTGGTAAATGTAAGTTAATAATGAGTAATATAATTGCATACAAAATTTATAGAAAAGGATATTTTGGGAAAAGCTTTTATTGGCCAAAATTTTTAACTAGAAAAGATTGACAGAGAAAGGACCATCGTGTAAAATAGTGTGATTTTTTTCGAATGTACAATAGAGGTAGGCTGTGATTATGATTGAATGTTTTGATGTTTCATCATTGATGTTAGGCATAAGACTGGGAAATCAGTGAAGGTCTTAAGATTATATAAAATGATATTATGAATACTGAGAAAGGATTTGAATCTCAGAAATTTAGTGGAGTATTTGAAAGACAAGACACACATTGTTGTGTATTTAGCAAATGAATGGGTATTTTAAGACCTTTAATACTCAATAGCATTTATATTTTATGGTGGAGTGCTATTTGGTAGATGTTTTTTTCAGACAGCTAAGCAGAGGAAAAGGCTTTTCATTCTACTGATAGTAGACATTAGCAAACTTCCAATTATATTTTCATGGTAAAAAATATAATAGTAAAAACTATGCGAAATTTTAAACGCTTGGAGGAAAGAATATTTTTGGCAAAAATTATTAAAGACTTTTTATCTCAGAATGATTTTAAAATGTCAGTTGAATAGTATATTTCATAGATGATTATCTTTTCTTTCAACTGTGTTGATGATGATGTTTAGTATTATTATTAAAATTATTTTTATTATTATTATTATCATTATCATTATCATTGTCATCATCATCATCATTATCATCATTATTGTTATTTTGTTACTGTTATTATTATTATTGATATTTTTATTATTATTATTATTATTATTTTTATTTTTATTTTTATTTTTATTATTATTATTATCATCATCATCATCATCATCATCATCATCATCATCATCATCATCATTACGATTATTATTGTTATTTTTTTGTGATTATTATTAGTATAATATTCATAATTGTAGTTATTATTTTTCAACATTATTATTGTTATTATTATAATGTTTATGATTCTTGTCATTATTATTATTATTTTTTTCTTCTTTTTTTGTTATTACTATTACAGTTACTATTACTATTATTGTTACTACTATTATTATAGCTACTATAATTACTACCACTACTACTATTGCTGCTGTTACTTATTGGTATTAGTATTATCATTACCATTACTATTACTGTTATATAATTGTCATTATTATTGTTATTGTTATTGTTATAATTATTACTATTACTTGTAATATTTTCATCATTATCATCATCACCATTATTGCTATTATTGTCATTGTCATTATCATTATATTAATCATTATTGTTTTTGCTATTGTCATCATCATCATTGTTATTATTATTAATGATATTATTATTACTTTTTTGTTATTATTATTATTATTATTATTATTATTATTATTATTATTATTATCATTATTGTTATTATTGATATAGTTAGTACTACCTCTATCTATGTTTTATTCTGCTCTCTCTGATAACTTCATTGAAAGAGAAACTCACTTCAGAGTTGCATGGTGCACTTTGATAGGTATATAGCCATAGTTTTGTTGTCTGTTAGTAAAGGCAGCAAATACTTAGACAGGCATGGTAGTCTGTTGATGATATAGAAATGTTGAAACTTGAACTTGGCTGTAGATAGCACATAATGAATGCAAATGAGAAATCACTAGAAAATCATCAGAAGAAAGAATATATAGAGATGAAGAAGATTAAATTTTTTTCACTGACTGCCTTGATTATGCCTTTGTTGTAGGTTGATAGTGAATAATAATTTGATTTATAGAGAGACACTGCACTCTAGAACTTCTATTGTTTTTTATTATTATTGTTATTATTATTATTATTATTATATTTATTTATTATCATTACTTTTTCTTCATTGAAGTGAGGAGACTGCTTCCACTCACAAGAATGTTCTAGTTGCAGTTTGTAGTTATGCAAAGGAAAACACATTAGATATCATCTCTTTATTGAATTCATTACAGGAGCAGAATTGCTTTGTCGTTGTTTGGTTGTTTATTTATTGTTTAATTTTTTAATGACTGATGCTTAAAGATTTACCATCTCATAATCTCTCTTTTTTGAAGTTTAGGAAAAGGTTAAAAACAGAAGGATCTTTGTTGAATTGTCATTCATCCTGTCATATGACAACATTAATAAGTGCAAACATTGTTGAGCATATCTTGATTGTACCTTTCAATTATGTGAAAGATTATACAGGTTTTTAGCGTCTGCATATTTGCCTGAGGCATTTGGTGTCAGACGAGTGTTCATCTATTTGAGATCCTTCTGCTTATGATGTCTTAACCTTTGCTTAAATGTCCTCCTGTACTGAAATACCATTGGCCCTTGCTAAGTCACAGATTTGGTATAGCTTGTACACATGTAGCCCTCTAACCAGGACTCTTAAATGATTTTAGTATTTTCCTTACCTCTGCCACATAAAGCTTATGGATTTTGATTTGTGTATCCTATCTAGTACTAATATTTTTTTTTGTTTTTGATATCTTTTTTTGCATGTAACCCCCTGAACCAACCAACCAACCAACCACTACCGTTGTTGCCTTCCGAATCCATCATCATCAATCACCGCTTGTGCCCCCAAAAACAGAGGCCAAAAAGCAGCGGAAAAAGCAGAAGAAGGGCGACTCAGGAGAAGAGTTGATTGTCGCCAATCCTAGTATGGCTAACTGGCTTTTAGTAGTTCTCATCCTCCTGTTATCCCATCTTTGAATTCTTTTCAGGAGTCTCTCTCTTTTTTTCTTTTTTTTTCTCCTCTCTGTTTCTTTGATACACTTTTTTTCTTTTGTCTTTTTTTTTTTATGTCCTTTAAAAAAAAAAATTGTTTCTTTTTTTTTTCATTTTTGAGTGTCTCATCTATATTGACTGAACTTGATTGATTGATTGATTGTTATAAGTTTGATGTTAAGGATTTGGACAATGGTATTCATGTCATCTCTTTTTTTCTAGCTCTGTCTCTTGTCGTCCTGGCCCTCTCACTCTGTCTTTCTCTCTGCCACTCTCTCCTCACTTTCACTCTCTCTTTCTCTCTTCCTTTTTTACTTACAATGTGTCTTTGCCAAGACAGTGTTTTAGTCCAGCACTGTAGGTTATTTAATATATTTGTCTCCTTTGTGCAAATTGTCTCTGTGCTGCTGCAGGATCCTTGGTGTACTAGTCTGTGCTCCATGTTCTTGTTTGGCTTCCCTTGAATTCATTCCTTTCTTTGATTATTTTTGGAGTATCTGTGCCTTTGTTTAGTTTGAATTTTATATTGATATCTAAAATCAACTGCCCCTTTCCAGTAATAACTGAAATGATCTTAAGATATATATTTTATATGATTCATGCATGATTGTTTTGATTATCTTCAAAGATCTCATTAATTAATTAAATTCCCACTTTACCCCTAAACCTCTCTGGTTATTTATTTTGTCTGCTTTGCCTGGGAATGAAGTAAACATTGCATTTGAGTGGGATTGACAGAGTGTGTGGCACTTCTCACAGGCAAGCAAGGAGAAGGTGAGGCAGGAGCCGTGACGGGTAACTCTCACCACGCAACAGCAAACTCTGCCAACGCTGACGGTGACGTGAGAAACAACAAACATTCAAAGGAAGAGGAGGAAGGAGAAGAAGGTGGAGCTGCTGGGGGTGGAGGACATGAGAAGTCTGTCCTGCAGGCCAAGCTGACCAAGTTGGCCATTCAGATAGGTTATGCTGGTAAGTGATATATGGATTCAGATACCTTGTTTGTCTTTTGTTTTGTTTTTTACCTCTCTACATAATACTGTATATTTAAGATAGGAATTTTGAAAATAGTATAATCACATTCAATAAGAAAACCATTAACTATTATTTCTTTTGCAGGTTCATTCATCGCTGTGCTCACTGTTGTGATTCTAATAGTCCGTTTCTGCGTACAAACCTTTGTTTTGGAAGGCAAACCATGGGACACATTTTATGCAAACCATTTTGTCAAGTTCTTCATCATTGGTGTAACTGTGTTGGTGGTGGCTGTGCCTGAGGGTCTTCCCCTTGCTGTTACACTGTCTTTGGCTTACTCTGTAAAGGTTGGTATCATTTTGTGAGGTTATGGTACTGTAAGGCATTAGAACTTGTGTTCGAAGGAGATTGAGAAAATGTTTTTTTTTTTTTTTTTTTTTTTCTCCTCTCTGTTTCTTTGATACACTTTTTTTCTTTTTTCTTTTTTTTTTATGTCCTTTAAAAAAAAAAAATTGTTTCTTTTTTTTTTTTCCTTTTTTGAGTGTCTCATCTATATTGACTGAACTTGATTGATTGATTGATTGTTATAAGTTTGATGTTAAGGATTTGGACAATGGTATTCATGTCATCTCTTTTTTTCTAGCTCTGTCTCTTGTCGTCCTGGCCCTCTCACTCTGTCTTTCTCTCTGCCACTCTCTCCTCACTTTCACTCTCTCTTTCTCTCTTCCTTTTTTACTTACAATGTGTCTTTGCCAAGACAGTGTTTTAGTCCAGCACTGTAGGTTATTTAATATATTTGTCTCCTTTGTGCAAATTGTCTCTGTGCTGCTGCAGGATCCTTGGTGTACTAGTCTGTGCTCCATGTTCTTGTTTGGCTTCCCTTGAATTCATTCCTTTCTTTGATTATTTTTGGAGTATCTGTGCCTTTGTTTAGTTTGAATTTTATATTGATATCTAAAATCAACTGCCCCTTTCCAGTAATAACTGAAATGATCTTAAGATATATATTTTATATGATTCATGCATGATTGTTTTGATTATCTTCAAAGATCTCATTAATTAATTAAATTCCCACTTTACCCCTAAACCTCTCTGGTTATTTATTTTGTCTGCTTTGCCTGGGAATGAAGTAAACATTGCATTTGAGTGGGATTGACAGAGTGTGTGGCACTTCTCACAGGCAAGCAAGGAGAAGGTGAGGCAGGAGCCGTGACGGGTAACTCTCACCACGCAACAGCAAACTCTGCCAACGCTGACGGTGACGTGAGAAACAACAAACATTCAAAGGAAGAGGAGGAAGGAGAAGAAGGTGGAGCTGCTGGGGGTGGAGGACATGAGAAGTCTGTCCTGCAGGCCAAGCTGACCAAGTTGGCCATTCAGATAGGTTATGCTGGTAAGTGATATATGGATTCAGATACCTTGTTTGTCTTTTGTTTTGTTTTTTACCTCTCTACATAATACTGTATATTTAAGATAGGAATTTTGAAAATAGTATAATCACATTCAATAAGAAAACCATTAACTATTATTTCTTTTGCAGGTTCATTCATCGCTGTGCTCACTGTTGTGATTCTAATAGTCCGTTTCTGCGTACAAACCTTTGTTTTGGAAGGCAAACCATGGGACACATTTTATGCAAACCATTTTGTCAAGTTCTTCATCATTGGTGTAACTGTGTTGGTGGTGGCTGTGCCTGAGGGTCTTCCCCTTGCTGTTACACTGTCTTTGGCTTACTCTGTAAAGGTTGGTATCATTTTGTGAGGTTATGGTACTGTAAGGCATTAGAACTTGTGTTCGAAGGAGATTGAGAAAATGTTTTTTTTTTTTTTCAAAATCTGTATATTTATTGTTGTATTTTATTTCACTTTTTTTTAAATTACATATCATATATTTTTCAGAAAATGATGAAAGATAACAACTTGGTGCGACATTTGGATGCTTGTGAAACTATGGGTAATGCAACAGCTATTTGTTCTGACAAAACTGGAACCCTCACCACTAACCGCATGACAGTTGTTCAGTCATACATCTGTAGTGAAGATCATAAGACTACTCCAAAGTTTGAGTCATTACCACATGCCGTGGGCGACCTCTTGGTGAACGCCATTAGCATCAACTCTGCCTATACATCCCGTGTTCTGCCAGGCGACAACCCAGGAGATCTCCCAAAGCAGGTAAGTGTCAAAGAAATTGCTCGTTCATATGGTAAGAATATTGTATTTTTTTGTGACAGATTACTTTGGAATTGGATGATATGTGGTATTGTAATGTTCATGGTAGTTAATAAATACTTCTATTTCTTTTAAACATAAAGGTTGGCAACAAAACAGAATGTGCACTGTTAGGCTTTGTTTTGGATCTTGGAAAAAGTTACCAGGTTATTCGAGATGAAGTCACTGAAGAAAACTTTCATCGTGTATACACCTTCAATTCAGTACGAAAATCTATGTCAACGGTGGTGCCTCGCAATGGAGGCTACCGCATTTATACTAAAGGTGCCTCTGAAATTGTCATGAAAAAGTGAGTAATTCTTGTTCTGTTTATTTGAAGAGATTATGAGTATTTTAGATTATGAGTATTGTAGTCACATGTAGTCATTGTCTATTAAATAACTGTATTTATTCTCTCCCTCTTTGTGTCCCAAACAATTGTGATATGTGAGTAATTCTCTCCATAGATGCTCCTTCATCCATGGCAAAGATGGCAGATTAGAGAACTTCACAAGGTCAATGCAGGAACGTCTTGTAAGAGAAGTAATTGAGCCTATGGCATGTAATGGTCTTCGCACAATCTCAGTTGCATATAGAGACTTTGTCACAGGGAAAGCTGAAATTAACCAAGTAAGGAACTGTGTTATGTGTTGTCTTTTAATGTGATATATATAGATATGTTTATAATTGTATGTATATGTGTGTAAATTAGACACGAGTATATGGATATAATACATCACATTTCTTTCCTCTATTTTTATCAACCAGAACATTGTTATGATTGCTTATTTTTCTCTTATTTGTTCCTTCTTTCTTTTCTTGTCGTATAATTGGCCTGCCTCTTCCAGGTGCATTTTGACTCAGAGCCTAATTGGGATGATGAGGATAACATCATCAACAACATGACCTGTATCTGTATAGTGGGCATTGAGGATCCTGTGCGACCTGAAGTGCCTGATGCCATTCGAAAGTGCCAGCGGGCAGGCATCACAGTGCGAATGGTCACCGGAGACAATATCAAC